TGGGAAGAAGGAAGATATTTTAGAGGAAAGGACTCGTGGAAGAAATAACTTTTGAGCAGAGGTAAAAATGCAGTGAGCTTGTTTGACTAATGAACTGAATAGTAAATGAATAAATGAACAAACGCATAAATGCAGGCTTGAGTGAGTTGGAAATGGAATGTGGAAGGAAGAATTTGAGGTAGGGACACTCACCCCCAACATCTGTTTGCCCTCCTTCCATTAAAAACAACAACAACTATCTTTTTCAATGCCTTGTTATTTCAGACGGGACATGAGTAGAGATTGGTCAGCAGTAGATAGTCCAGATGTGGGAAGGCCTGCCCATCTCTTTTCTTAGGGGAACAGAGGAATTCCTTGCCCACCTAGGCTAAGGTAGAGGTCGATGGTGAGGAAATCCAACTGTAGAGGACATTGGTTGTTTTGAGTTGGCTAGATCCTCACCATCCCTTCCCAATTAGAGCCCATTTTCTATCAACCAAAGGGACCAGATCTTTTTCCCTGTCCCAGCATGGTCAGAGGTACACAAGTCCCCGAGACCTTTCCACCTCCCAGCATGCTGTAGAAGTCAGTCCAGTGATGTCACTTCCCAGATGTGCAAGTGATAGAGTGAGGGCTCCCAGGACCAGTGGCGACCCACCTTTGGCTTATTTACAAGAAGCATCTCTTCCCTCCGCCCCCAGCGCAACAGCTTCCTGGTTTTGCCTCCTTCTCCTGAGCCTTCCTGGCAGTCACCCTCTCTCCCCTGCCATTCAAAGTTGGACTTCCTCAAGGCTCGGTCCCAAGTGCCCCACCTTTTTCTCAAACCCAGCTGACAACAGATGGTATTGAGGAGTGGTTTTTATTTGCATTTTTCAAAAGATGTAAGCATCTTTTCATATGCTATTGGCCATTTGGATATCTTCTTTTATGAGATGCGCATGTGTCTTTTGCTTGCTCTCCCCCCTCTTTTCCTTATTGGATTGTTGCTCTTTATAATATTTTGGCTATGAGTTCTTTTTCACCTCTCTCTGTGTTTCTATTTCTTCTCCTACTTTGCTGCCCATTTTTTCCCCTTAAGGGTGTCTTTTGATGAAGAGAAATTCTTAATTGAATATAGCCCATTCTGTCAAATCTTTCCCTTTTGGTTTGTGTTTGTGAAGATATTCCATGTTTTTGTCTAAGAGCTTTTGTACTTGATAATTCATACTTAGAGTTACAATGCACCTTGGATTGCTTTTGTGGAAAGTGGGAGGTAGCAGCGAAGAGTCTTTTCTTTTCCACATGGAAGTCCAATTGACCTATTACTAGCTCAATTAAACAAAGCAACATTGCATGGTGGTTAGATGGGTGTTCATTGTAGCATACTTGCAACTTCCCTATAGGTTTAAAATGTTTTAAATAAAGTGTTGGGGGGAAATTATGACAAAATAAAGACAGAGGGACTGTTGTAGATAAACGAATATTAGAAATAATTCCAAGTGCAATGTGTAAATTTTGATTTATTACTGTTGAAAGATAAACAGCCATAAAAGACATTCTTTTTAAAAATGGGGAAATTTGGGAATGAACCATATTTTATAGGATATTATGACATGATTGTTCATTTTCTTTGGCGTGAAGATATTATTGTGTTTATTTAGGAGAATGCATTTTTTTCTTAGGATTTTTGAAGTATTGAGACATGAAATACCATTAAGGCAGCAACTTACTTTTAAATAACTCAGAAAGAAATTGTACATATAAATACAGATAGATAAAACTAGAAAAATGATAACGATTGTTGAATCAAGATGGAGAGTGTTCCTTGTACTATTATTTAAAGCTTTCTGTATGTTTGAAAGTGTTTACTGAAGAGATGGTAGGGGAGAGGACGATGTGTGGGCCAAACAAAAAGTGGTTCAGGTCAGCTTATTTCGGGTCTAGGGCCTTGCCTCTGCTCTCCCGCTTATTCCACACCATTTCACAGATAACAAATAGAAGCTCAGAGGGGTTAGTGATTTACTCAAGGTCATACAGCCAGTTGGGGTCAAGCCAAGATTTGAACCCACATCAGTCTGAGTCAACCCACATCTGCTTTTCTTTTTCGTTGTTTAAGCCTCTTCTCTCCCATCTCATCCCCCAGGGTTGTTGGAGCTGGTGAGAGCTATGTGCATTTACTACATGTGCCAAGCTTTGCACATATTACTCAAATCCTCACAACAACTTGATGCAGTTGTTACTAATAACATCCCCCATTTTACTGAGAGGCACAGAGAAGTTAAGTTACCTGCCTAAGGTCATTCAGGTAAGAATGGAAGAGCTGGGAGTCAGAGAACGTGGGCAGTCTGGTTCTACAGCCCTCACTTAAAGGGTCAAAGAAACACTGTGAAAAGTATAAATCAACTTTAGGAATATAATGCAGGCTATCGTTAGTTCTCACAGAATACCTGCAAAATCCTCTCTACTCCTGACTGGCCCCCCCCTCCCCCCCAGGTTCAAATGTGTCTACACAGGGATCACTTGCCTCCTCAATTCAGCTGTCAGTTTCTTGAAGCTGGGGCTGGTTCTACTGGCCCTGGCCGTGAGTTTCTCTACCTTTGAGATCTTCTGGCCTGGGCTGATTGAAAAGTGAGGTTTTGAATATGGTCTCACACTATCCTATCAAGTAGGATACCAACTTGCCTGCAGAATGAGAATTAGGGGCCAAATGAAATGCTGAGGCAGTTACAACCTAGTGATCAAGGATCTGCCTTGGGAGACACGTCAATTTTGATTTGAGCCCTTAGGGTTGGGTGAATTGCTCCTCCCTCTAGGAGTTTCCTTTTCCTTCTCCTCCTCCTTCATCATCTCCTTCTCTTTCTCCTTCTTCTTCTTTAACCATCCTATATAATAAAAGCCTAGGTGGTGTCACATGACGTCGTCACAAGATGGCTGGCAGGGGAGGGCAGTTGTGGGTGACCAGGCCAGCAGGGGAAGGCAGTTGGGGGTGATCAGGCCAGCAGGGGAGCAGTTAGGCGTCAATCAGGCCAGCAGGGGAGCTGTTAGGAGGTGATCAGGCAGGCAGGCAGGTGAGCAGTTAGGAGCCATCAGTCCCGGATTGTGAGAGGGATGTCCGACTGCCCGTTTAGACCGGATCCCCCTCCCCCCTCCCCCAGCACTGTGCACGAATTTCATGCAGCAGGCCTCTAATGGGAATAATGAGTGCATATCTTAGGGATGCTGGGGGGATGTAATGAGATAAGTAAAACCAGGCATCTCTCAGCATATGTCTTTACATTGATCACTGTTATCATGACACTCCTTATGATTCTGCGGGGTGTGGACCCTGCTTAGAGTTCCAGCCTCATCCCTGCGCTCTCCCTATCTTACTGGAGTCAACCTGGGGACAGATCAGGCTTTTTAGCCTTCGGCTTCTGCACCTGCTATTCACTCTTTTATGTCTCAGTTCATGTCACCTGCTCAGTTTGGCCTTCCTTGACCCCACTGGCCTGCCTCCTGTTTTCTTGCGTTCATATCACTTATCAGTACCAGATATTATGAATTGACCTGTTTCTTTTTCTCCAGCCATTTCAATGCAAGTTCCAAGAAGACACTGATGTTGTCTGTTTTGTTCTTTGTAGCCTCCCCAGCATCAAGAACGGCATCTGGCATTCCATACATGGAGAACTGAATGAATGAGTGAATGGGTGAATGAATGAAAGCGTCTAGCGAGCTCCCCTGTCTACAATCCCAGATCTTGCTGACGGCCCCGCGGGCTCCCGAGCTGGGGGTGCCCAAGCGCGGAGCCAACGGGCACTTGAGCGACGCT